TTACCATCTGCATCACCAGCCTGTAAGCTACTGATGGCACTGTTACAGGAAGGTAGTTGTTTATATCGGCGTTGTCCTCCTGTCTTTTATAGATTATGCTCATCCTGCTCAGTTTCCACCCATTCAGAGCTTCACCATTCATTACTGCTTTGCTCGCGGCGTCTCTTAATGTTTTCTTTGAGTTTGGTCCTAGTTTCTTTATCAGCATGATTGGGATGCCATCAGGGTTTGTTGATGTGCTATTAGGAACTCTTTCCTCTGCCCTTTCCATTTCTCGTTGTCCAAGTAGAACCACTAAGCTAATTCGTCCATCCTCATCTGGTACGGTGCATGCAGTGCTTTCTTGGTCTTTAAATGTACAGTCATCATAGTTAATATATATTTATTGCCTCATCCTTTTCTAGTCTGACCCCTTGAACTGTAGTTATAAACCTCTGTTCGATGCTTGTCTCCTTACTCGAAAAATTGAGCGTATTCCAAAGCTTTGCAGTTGCCTATCTTTTTGTTTATTTCCGCCATCTACTGGGCCCCATTCTTCTAATCTTTTCATCGATCAAATCGGATGCTTCCTTTTTGCGGCTCAAAATTATTTTCCATTTTCTTTTGATAGCATCTTCCAGTTCACTCATGTTTAGCATATCTGTGTTCTCTGGAGGCTTCCTGACGTCGTATTATGGCTCCCTTAACTTTCTCATACCACTAGCTCTTGGGTTTGTGTCTGCTTTTCCTCGTTCATTTGACACGTACCTCAGCAAGCTCTAACTGAAACAATCGAGTTAGATTTGTGTACGTCCACTTTGCTTTAGTATCCACGGTGATTATTTTCTCAATCTCTTTAGTTGTTATTTCTATTTGCCTTTTTGAATATTTATTACCGTGTGGTTGCTTGTAATGCCGCCTTTCCAATTTAACTTCTCTTCCAGAACTCTGCTTGATACGTTTGTGATTACTACCTAAGCTTTTGGCCCCATAATCATCTTTGTTACATCACCCTTAGGCGATCATACATTCTATGTGACATTATTGCGTAACCTATCATTGACTTCAGCCTTCCCACGTCCGATGTTATTTGCCCTTCACATTTCTCGGTGCTATTGCAAATAAATAAATCATGCCTTTCACACATATACATTAGCATTCTGCCTCTTGGGTCAGCATATTTATCGATATCTTATATGTGTGCATTCATATCTCCTAATATATTTACCTCAAACTCTTCTCCTAGATCGGCGATTTCATTTTCTATGCACTGCGCGATTTGTTGATTTTGCTCTCTGGCTTTTGGTCCTCTCCACAAGTATGCAAAACCGAGGAGCGTCATTTGCCCTGCCACTTTTTATTTTAGCCATAAATGTTCCTTGCACTCCTGCTTGACAATCGCCAGTCTGTACCGTCATGAATAAGTTTCCCAATACCATCCCCTTTTCTTCGGCCTTCTGTTCTATTACAATCTTTCCACGCGTAGTCCTGGTTGTTAGAAGGTCCTTCCATGTCCCTAAGATGTGTTTCTACAGAACCATATACCATCGGCCTCCCCTTCACTTGACTGTTCTTCTATCTCTCCCCACTTTAGCCTATTCCTGCCAACCTGCATGTTAATATACCCTACGTCTGTATTGGCTCGGCCCTCGTGGCTGCGTTGATTTCTGCCACTGGACTCTACGTGTCTTAGATATCGGTGCCACTTTGGAATCGTATCTGTCTGTACCACCTGTGAAAGAGTCAACCTGGTTGTTTTTCTCATTACTAGCTATTCCGTGATCCGAATGGCCCGCATGCCCTCCAAGAAAGCTACTGCGCATCCTGCAAGTCGCCACCTCATGACCTGGCGTTCCATTCATCTATGTTCATCACTCGTAGCCGATCGTACATTCTATGTGACACTATTTCTGTAATCTTTCGTCGACTGCAGCCTTCCCACGTCCCTTGTTATCTGCTCTTCTCATTTTTTCGGTGCTGTTGCAAATGAATAAATCATGCTTTCGCACATATACAACAGAATCCTGCCTGTTGGGTCAGTATATTCATACATATCTTCTATGTGCGCATTCATATCTCCTAATATATTTACCTCACACTCTTTTCCTAGATCGCCATTGTCAATTCCTATGCACTGCACTATTTGTTGGTCTTTCTCTCTGGCTGTTGCCCCTGTCCAAAAGTATACAAAACCAAGGAGCGTCATTTGCCCTGCCACTTTTCCTTTTAGCCATAAATGTACCTTGCACTCCTGCTTGACTCTTTGCCAGTCTGTTACTTTTATGAATGAATGCCCCAATACCACCCCCCTTTCTGCTGCCTTCTGTTCTAATACAATGTTTCCATGCGTAGTCCGGATTGTTCGAAAGGTCTCTCATGTCCCTAAGATGTCTTTCTACAAAACCATACACCATCGGCCTCTCTTCCCTTAGCTGTTTTTCTATCTCTTCCCACTTGAGCCTATTCCTGCCACCCTGCATGTTAATATACTCTACGTCTGAATTGGCTCGACCATCGTGGCTACGTCGATTTCTGCCCCGGACTATACGTGCCTTAGATATTTGTGCCAATTTAGAATTGTGTCTGTCTATACCGTCTGTCAAAGAGTCTCCATGGTTGTTTTCCTCGTTACTAGCTATCTTGCGACCCGAAGGGCCCACGTGCCCTCGAAAAAAAGCAACTGCGCGCCCTGCAAGCCGCCAACTTACCTCATTTCCTTGCATCTCGTCGAAGTGAGTTCTGTCTCGTTAAAAACTACGCCACCAATGTACCTCTCTGTTTATTTCCACCACCTCAAAGCCTTTCTCTCGACTCATCCACCACATCTCTTGATTTGCGTTGACAACTGCTCTGTGCAGGTTGCCGCCACGCACTGGTACCTCCGGTGTTGTGCATATAACTACATGTGCCTGAGGAGGAAGGGCGCGCATGTAATCGTCTTCTTTCGCTAGTGTGGTCGCTAGTCCTGCCATATCTTCGTTTAGAACATCGTTTAAACCATTTGAAATTATCACGAGATTTCATCCATCAGCTGCAGTTTTGAGTTTTGCGCTCGCTTGCCTCGTGTCTGCTTCCAGCTTGCGTCCTGAGAACGTCACTACTGCAACCCTCTTGTCACCTCTTACCCTCTCTTTGATTGCTTCTGCGCCTTTGATTAGGAGTGAGGAGGTTGTGGCGCCACCTGAATATCAGAACACCCACTATTAGGCGCATTATTTGTCTTTTTTGTTGCTGCTCCCGGTTGGAACGACAGTCTGCTCCCCAAAAATTGAACTCCTGAAAAGTCGCGCAACTTCATGTCCGGGTAGTGGAACGCAGTTTCGATGCAAATTGTTGTCGGCTGCAAATTGAATGACTGTGCTACAGAGAAGCAGCGGCAAACAGTAAAAAATCAGGCATGGCAGCAAGCGAAAGTGCGTTGCGACTGATAGAGTTTGCCGATCACGTCAATCACCAACGTCTTCTCACATTGCCGCAGTGGGTGGAGTCAAGACGGCCGGCCGCGCCTTCCCCTTCCTCTGAGGGAGAAGGCTGGCGAGGCCCCACGAAAACTTGAAACTAGCTGCACGGGATGTTCTATTCCCTGTGAATTCCTTAACATAGCACGTATTCGCAAAATTATCGCGGCAGCATGTTCATGAAGTAAAGACGCACGTATAGCTCTCTACAATAATTTTTGAACCTTGGGGTTGTATACAAGTCCTTTTAGAGAAGAGCAAATTGAGCAGATATGCTTTTGTCAAGCACCTTTGTGTGCTGCTTATCACTGATAGTAAATGGTGCATGGTATGTATCTATATAAATTTGAAACCAGCACACAGCTTTTCACTTTAGTGACCAAAAGTCAAAACCACAGCTTCGCTTGAGGTGGTATGATGCACGCATGCAACACTGCATGCCATAGTTTGATATGCCTGCCGTTTCTTTCGAGCTGTACTTGTCGATGTTACTGCTGTGGAAGAGCTACTTAATAAGAAGAGGCAAGCAAGCACGAAGTTCTTCTTGGATAACTGTAGCTCACATGCATGTTCGTTGAGCAAAACGACGAGAATTTGGACGAATACAACAGCCAGAAAACTAATGAAAGCGTTTTATACCGGCAAAAACTGTGCGATGTGCGTTGACGACACTTCTGTAGTGCTGTGAAAATGCGAGCAAAGGTTTATTGAGCAAGCTTTATAGGTCGGCCGTTGCTGTGAACATGTTCTCTGCGCACGTGCTACGTGACAAAATGCGCATGCGTGTTTCTGCGTATAAAGTCCTTGTTAGTGGCGCACTGTCCCGTTTCCTGTCTTGTGGTTGCGCTTTTCTTCCGGCCTTGAATCAGTTGTGAAGTACTTTTTGAAGTATGACGCACTCGTGCGCTGATAGGTGCAAACACACATCCACGCACGCACCGCATCATGGCATCAAGTGGCAACACATTGCCACGACATGAATCAGCCTAAATAGCAACACCATGACTGTGCTTCAGAATACTTTCCTACCTCCTTCATCTTGAGCCAGGGAAACAAATGAAAGGGTATTTTCAATAAATGAACAAGCTAATGCCTTGAGTGAAGGCATATACAGCATACAAGATATTTCCTCCACTATCATGGACTGTTTCTATGCGATATAAAATTTGGTCAATGTTATTAGCTGTGTCATTTTGATAGGCTTTTGCCGACGAAAATTCCTCAGAAGGCTGTACATCTGCGAAAATTCAAATTCCTGCTATTACGCGGGTTCAGATATCTTCTTATTTCATACACGCTTGCAGGCGATTCAGCAGTCGGAATAATCAATATTTCACTCGCGTTATGAGAGGCATGAGTGCATTCCTCGTGGGCTCAAATCCCGAAGCGAAGAGAGAAAGCTGCAAATAAAAAAATTTTTGTTGTTTCTTCTAAAAAATGAATTCCACCATTGATTGTTTTGCGCTTGAAATACGTTGATAAAAGCATTTTTGTTGTTGCTAACCTTCGTTCATATTGCTGGCTTCCACACAGTTGATTCATCATATCCTTCTTTTCTCGTAGGACATGCTCATGCCATTCACAGAAAGCCTCATTAGCGTGAGTAAAATTGTTCACTTTTTTATATTGACACCCTCTGACAAGCTACGAGCTGTTTACGTGAAGACAAAATAGGCCACACTACTTAAATTAGCTAATTTATGCGTTTCCAATTTTCTGTTATGTACACCTTACAGAAAAGGTATATCATTGACATGCTCTCGCTCAAAAGTACGCCCTGACGTAATGCCAATTCAGTCCTCGTGCGTGTTAAACACGAAGAATACAAAAAGTCAAGCAGACAATATTTTTTGACGTGTTTAAAGCGGTTACCCTTTAGGGATTCAAGGCACATGAGAATTCACATTATCCTAATCTAATGTATGTCTGTTTCATTTCAGAATTTGTGGAAAATTTCCTAAAGCTTAATCTGATACCATTGTGGAGTACTTTTTGAAGGCTGACCCTTGCTTTCAAAACAACCCACCGATTGTTGCTTTAGTTATTCGATTTCTTAATAAAAAGTCATTTCATACTTTATGTACTGCAGTAGTCTTCGCACAGATTGTGGTCTGGTGGAATTCAAATAAGCTCATAGTCACCAGTTACTCTGTTTTTTCAGCTGCGATTGATTGTTTGATAATTTTTATTTTTGTCTGACAGAAAGGTAGTACATGGGATAAACCACGTTTCGGCGCTTTTTCCAAATATCGGGACGAGTATACCGTGGTTTGCTGTACAAGATAGAGTATTAAGATATGCGGCCTTGATAATTTGCAGTGCGGACTTGCAGCTATTGCGGACTTGGAGCTGCCATCAAAGCTGTACCTGGTGGAAGGGATTGTGGTGAACCTTTTGAAGAACTTTGGTTTAGGTAATTAGTATTCAATATTCTTGATATTTCTGATGAAGTGTAAAATAGTACATGTTTGGGCTAGTTAGATATGGAAAACCTAAAAGAAACACTAAGTTAAGACAGTTAACACAATTCTTTGTCAGGTTGAAAAACTATATAGCAGAAGAGAAACATTTGAAGCAGAAGTTACGAAATATTTTAAGGTATAAAATACTATAGGTCCCAATGATGTATTTGTAGAGTGACAAAAGATGCGCAGAAAGAAGAGACATACTCAACAACTACTAGCTTTATTAGCGTTAGCGCTGCATAAACAAGCTATGCATAAGTCGTTCCAATCAACTATGCTACGGGGAAAGAGAATAATTGAAAAGGTTAGTATTCGAGAGATAGTGCGTCAAAGGTTGAGCATAATGTTTTTTTCGTTGAGCTACCATTGGCTTTCAGAAAATCCCTGGTCTGATAAAAATGGTTGTTTTTTAGCAAAATATTTAATTTATTTTTATGAAGCTTCTTTAGGAGTTGCGATGGTTGAATGTTAATAGCTGGCGTAAGACTGGTAGGGGCCAAGCGATATTTAGAAAAAATGAATAGGACTGCTTTACGTTGGACTTTTCCTGAAGGGCCAACATTACATTTAGTATAAGGGTACCACACAATACATGAATACATGCCTACTCTAATTTAGAGCAAATAATTGAGTGATATGCTGTAAGGCGAGTGAAAGGCAAAGCCTGTTTTAATAATATGTCTTAGGAAACACATTTTCCGGAAAGATGCTTTGCAATTGTTGGAAACGTGAGCATTCGAAGATAAGCATTGTTCGTTATTTTCATAACAAGGTACTTGTACTCACGATCTCCTGTGAGAGGTGTAGAAGCGATAATCTATGGAAACAATAACGAGTTATACTTTCACGTAACTTGCGTAAAACCAATTTCTTCGTGTTTAGTACCATACGCAACTTGGAACACCACGAAGGTATGTTACAAGCGTTTGAATGACCAGCAGTTTGGACTGCGTCACAGGTTATTTCAGTAAATAATATGCGGTCGTCTGCAAACAGCCTAGTCTGCACGGTCGAATAAATGACATCAATATTGTCGTTTGGATAAATTAAAAATAATAAAATCCATGATACGCTGCCTTGTGGGTCAACTCAGGTTACAGGAAGCTCACCTGATATGTTACTGCCAATTTCAATGAACTCTTTACGGTTAGTTAAGTAAGCAGCACTCCATTTACTTATGTACGATGGTATCTGTTTCTATTTAACCTTTTCGACTAGGTGACCATGAAAATAAAAGGTCGAATGCCTTTCTAAATTCAAATAAAATTACATCAATTTGTCGAGACTTGCCAGACCTGCGAACTCGTGAATTATTGTGGTTAATTGGGTAACATTTGAAAGGCCTTTACGAAAGCCATGCTAGTGGTCAAACAAAAGACTCTTTTCAGTGAAAATTTCACTATACAATTGCTATAACCTATTATAGTTGCTTCCAAAACGACAACATCAAAGAAATGGAAAGGTAGTTATTTAAAAAAATAGCATCATCTTTTTTGGTATAGATGTAAACACGTTCCACGAGCCAGTCACTAGGACAGATTGTAGAAGACAATGATGCTTGAAAATTAACTACTAGAAATTGAAATAATTTTTACGCATATATGTGATGGAAAACATGTGAAATACAATCCGGTCCAAGTGGAAATGTAGTTTTCAACTCAAGCAGCAAAAAGACTGTACCAGGTTTCAAAGTCATATCAGGTGGTGCCAGAGAAAATGAATAGTTTAAACTTGATGCATCAAGCTTACAGAAAAAACGCTATAAAAAACTCGTTGAAATGTTCTGAAAAACTTTGTATATCAATTACTAGGCATCCCTGGTGTACAATTTGGTCAGTAAGTCTTGCTTTTTTTTTTTCTTCAAAAACCCCAAAACTTTTTCCAGAGGATACAGCATAAAGTTTGGTAGATTATGCCTACAGTACTTTTCTTTTGCATTTGACACTAATGGGTTTAGTTTAGGCTGTTATATATGAATAATATAACAAAAGGCACCCTGTCACCCTAATCGCCTAATTTTAGTTAGGCTGCAGCGGCTCTCGCGTTATCGAAAAGCCCCACCGCGGTGATCTAGCGGCTAATGTACTCAGCTACTGACCCGCAGGTCGCAGGATATAAGCCCGGCTGCAACGGCTGCATTTCCGCTGAAGGCGAAAATGGTATAGGCCCGTGTGCGCACATTTTGGTGCACCCTAAAGAACCCCAATTAGTCGAAATTTCCGGAGCCCTCCACTACGGCGTCTCACATAATCATATTGTGGTTTTCGGACGTCAAACCCTACTTATTATTCATCGTTATCGAGGAGTCATTTCAGCTGTTTTTTTTTGTTTTATTAATAACAAAATATTACAATGCATGCATATGTCTTTAAACCTCGACTAAAGATTAGTGACATCCCAACCACGAAAAATACATATACAAAAGACTGAGTTGCCCAAATCGCTTTCGTCTCTTGGGCAGGAAAAATCTTTCACGGTTATCTTTTTCGATCAGTTGTTGCTGCTTGACTGTAGCCAACAGAAAAATTATACCAGGTGATGAATCGAAACATTTGTTAAACAGATACGGAAAAGTCATCATTAGGTTCGATAATAAAGATAGGATCAAGCACAGTCGCCGATGTGGCTCGAACGCTTGTAGGTTGATTGAAAATTCCTTGCAAGGGGTGGCATGCGCAAAACATTATCACCTAAGCAATCCACATTTCAATTTTGATTTTGATAAAAAAATCCGTGCTCCCACTGAATTTTTGGAAGAATAAAATACCTGACAGGAAAAATTTCGCCATGAAGAAATGAGGTTATGTGTTCGCGTAGGTCACGAACGAACTGTGAAGGCGAGATAGGAGTGTGGTAGACGCCAAGCAGCAATAATGGCATGTCCCAGAAAGTTTAAAGTAATGGTTTTTATAGTTTTTCCAAGACGTAAGAATACGACAGGAATGTGTTCTTTAATCAAGATAGCCACACCTCCCACCATGTACATCTGTCATGACGAATGACACAGTAAGAAGGTTCAAAAACGGTTAAGTGAACAATATCATCATGTAACCAGGTTTCTATTATCACAACAACGTGAGGGGATGATGTTGAATGGAACATTTATTTTTTCGAATCTGTGTTCCCGAGTTTGTAAGCTCGGGGTCACCCTAGGTGGGAGGGTTCCTTATTCCAGGAATCCTCTGGCCGTAATCGCCTGCCGGGCCCTGGCAACAAGTCCTCGTTGGTCGTCTAGGTCACGTGCGGCAATCTTGGCCTCCCACGTCTCGACTAGGGGCCGATACGTGCAGTTGTTGCGGACTTGTTATCGGCATCTTCGTGGCGCCACGAACACTCGGTCAGTAGGCGGGCCAGTGTGTCTGGCACGTCACATATCGGGCAGTTGTTGGCGTATAGCGTTGGGTAGATTCTATGCAGTAGGTTGCCGTGTGTATAGGTGTTAGCTTGAAGTCTCCAAAATACTGTTGGACTCACCCCAAGCTGACTAAAAAATACTTTTTTTAGTCAACTTGGGGTTAGCTGGCGGGTACACCCTGCGAGCTAGACAATAGTGTTGTAGGATGGCGTTGTATGTTCATAGTATGGTCTCCACTTCTTCTGCAGCGCTGGCTAACCACGGGTCAAGCTAGGCGCTGAGGGAGGCCTGGTTTACGCGACCGCGGGCCGCGGCGTAAGCCGCTTCATTTCCCTCGAGCCCCTCGTGCCCCGGCACCCAAACCACGCAGGTGTAAGAAGCGGAGTTCGGCTCTTTCTCAAAATTTTGAGAGCTTTGACGGAGATTCGGCCTCGAGTGTATTTGCGGACAGCGTATTGGGAATCAGTGAAAACAACGACCGCGTTCTTACCAGTCGTAGTGGCAAGGGCGATCGCTGCTTCCTCAGCAGACTCGGAGCTCCGCACCCAGAGGGTGGCGGATGCCAGCTCTTGTCCTTCCGCGTTGACCACACTTAAAGCGTAGACATTTTTGCCAGGGTATTTTGCCGCATCGAGGTAGCGAGCGTCTGGATCATGCTGGTGTCTTCTGCGAATGGTGTTGACTCGAGCGATTCGTCTTTCCCGATGGTACTCGGGATGCATGTTACGCGGTACTTGGGCGATGCTGAATGATTCTCGCATGTACGGTGGCATCTTCTCTTTGCGGTCTGCCTCGCCGATGTAGCTCTCGCTGTAGCGCGAGCGCTCAAGGACCGATCTGCCCGTCGACGTAAGCTTAAGTCTCTAGAGTTGGCTGGCCCATTGGGCTTCTGCTAGCTCTTTCCAGGTGTTGTGTATACCCATTCTTAGGATTCTGGTGGTCGACGCCTTTGGAGGTAGCCCTATGGCAAGCTTGGTAGCTTTGCGGATGAGCACATTCAGCTTGTCGACTTCAGATGTCTTGAAAGCGAGTTACGGGGTTCCATAGGTGATTCGACTGGTTAGAAGAGCCTGCACAACTATCAAGGTATCGTTTTCCTTCAGGCCACTGCGTTCAGGCCACTGCGTTTTCCTTCAGAGTTGCAAACCCTCCCCGCCGCTCACAGCATCGGTTTGCGACTCTCCCTACAAGGTGCGTGAGCTGGAAGACTGTGCGTTGAAGTGCAGAAAGTGTGGCGGCCCCTGATCCATCGTGGTGCAGGTGCAAGCCGAGCGCGCGAAGCGAGGTGACCTTCGATATTTGGACCCCGTGACGAATGACACATGGGTCTGGCGCTTCGCAGGTTGGAGGTCTTCCTCGCGTGCGGGTCTTGAGTACCAGTAATTCCGATTTTTCAGTTGCAAAATGGACCCCGCAGCTTTCGAGGTAGTTCTCTATGACATTGACCGCCTCCTGAAGGCAGCTTTCTTGTTCTCCAGTAATCTTGCCTCGAGTCCAAAGCGTAATATCGTCCATGTAGATGGCGTGACGTAGGCCCTGTATTTTTTCGAGAAGCCGAGGGAGCTTAGGGAGTGCCACATTGAAAAGGAGTGG